ACGCACTTCTTGGTTGAAAGACTTACCTACTCATGCGGCAACTGGATCGGGGCGTTTCGTCTCACTCTCAGGGGGATTTGCCCCTCTCTGCACTTTTCTGGGTTCTCCAGAATCACTCAGGTTAATAGTGATAGTTTGGTCTGATGTGAGGACTTTGGGCCTTTCATGCCGCTCTAGATCGCGCTGAATATCTGAGGAATCGTCGAGTTCGTCGGTGTCATTGGGATCAAGCTCGACTGCACATGATTCATCAGATTGGACCGTTTTCATACTCTCACGTGTCACAAGATTGCCCCTGAAACATAAAGTAGGGGGTTCAGAAGGACAAACATGGCTAAACGGTGTATTTTTTTTCGATTTGTTTTTTTTTTTGTGACTTTTTCGAAATTCTTTTCAAAAAGGTTTTAACACGAGGAAGCATGAAGAAGCCCAGGCCTCAGAATTCTCCTTGGACTATATTTTTCTTTTATCGGTTGGATATCATCACCGGGCTGGTTTGATGTACCTCAACATGCCCTCAAAACGAAAATAATTTGTAATTTCATTGATTATTTCAAAATGAATTACATTTATTGAATGGAAATTGCAACAATCAAATCCTAGAAATGAAAATGGGAAGCAGCGCCCGAAACGGGGCAAGTCCTAAAAAGCAGTAAAAATTCCCACGCAGGGGAGTGTGCGAAAAAGTAAAAGTTTTACTCTTGTGGGCATGTGCCCATTCCCTCTAACGGTCCTTCCTCGATAGCTCCAACGAAGAAATCATCAAACAGGGCAGTGATTCCATCCATTGCATCATCAGAATCTTCTGTCATTAGAGGTGTTGGATCATCCATACCTCCCCATCCATCCGGGACAATGTCACAGGGGTTAACATAGAAGCTCGGGGGCGCCGAGTATTTCACATAAAAATCGAACTTGCCGCTCGGTTGCCCCAAAGTGTCGATCACCTCTTTCTCTTCATGCATCATTCTTGCAGGGCCCGGAAATGTGGTGCGGATATGTGGAAGCAACCTACCATGCCCAAGCTCTCCATTGTTGTGGGTAATTCCATTCGGCTCTTCTTCGGATCGCTGTCTATTATATCCATCTCCTCGACCTCGACCTCGGCCGCGTCCACGTTCATGTCCACGTCCCCCATTATTTGGCCCGCTTGACCCCTAGTATCCCAACCCAGTAGTGTGGGGCCTTCAAGAGACTTCCACCGGCTGGCGGATACCTTGACCATTCCTACCAAGGCCTTCACCCGGAATAAAGCCATGGGACACCATTACTCTTCCAACCATGACTGCAGCATTTGACACCTCAGGAATGGGCGGTGATGATCCTCTCGATGCATGTATGGTTGATACGAGCTCGAGCGACTGATAGCTTGATTCTATTTTGCAATCCGGCTCAACATAGGGGATAGCCGTTGCGTGGTAGATTGGGTGCTCCTCTTCACCGTGGACTGTGACTAACTTTCTCTCCACAACGAACTTCACCTTCTGATGCAGACTGGATGGCACAGCTCCGGCAGTATGAATCCATGGACGACCCAACAGAAAATTGAATGCAGTGGGAATGTCCATAACTTGAAATAGGATGTTGAACATCGTTGGTCCTATCTGTATGTCAAGGTGGATTTCTCCCATTACTTCTTTCTTCGTTCCATCAAAGGCTCGCACAGAAGTCTTTGCAGAATTTATCCTAGAAGGGTCTATCTTGAGGCGGTGTAAAGTCGCCAAAGGACAGATATTCAAGGCTGATCCATTATCAATGAGTACCCGGGCTACATGCGAGGCCTTATATTTAACAGAAATGTAAAGTGCCTTGGTATGCCCCCTCCCTTCCAGAGGAAACTCTTCATCTGAAAAGGCTATGAGGTCCTTGAGGAGTATAGAACCGACAAATTCCTTCAATTTATCATGATCGATCATTTCTGGCACGTGGACTTCACTTAACACCTTCATTAGGGCCTTCTGATGCTTGACAGATGTCTGGAGTAGTTCAAGGAGAGAGATTTGCGCGGGCATCTTGCGCAATTGTTCAACTATGTTGTATTCGCTAGCCTTAATCACAGCTAGAAACTCTTTGGCTTCTTCATCAGTAACAAGTTTTGTAGGTTGGGCATTAGCTTGGCTATAGGTACGCCCAGATCTGGTAACCAAGTCGACATCGAGGCTGTAAAACCAAGGGACCGCCTTATTATCACTGTACTCATGTGGTTGAGGTATCTCGATCACTATCCCTTCATCAGCTATAGGCGTGCTTACTACGATCTCTTCATCATCGGACGCGTCTTCGAGCGGAGGCATGTCTTCAAGCAAAGGGTCGAACTTGTCCTTCCCGGTGTTCAATGTAGCAAACTCTTCTTCCCAATTAATAACCACTTCAGAAATAGTGGAAACAATGCCAGTGTGGTCAGCATAAACAATCATCCCAGCTTCTACCATACTTGAGATTCTTTCTCTCATGACAGCCAGGGGAAGGGTCTCGTTACTCGGGTAATAACCGGCTTTCACCAACTCGCCATAGATGTCCGTAGTATAAACCTTGACGTTCTTAATTCGACCAGCATCGAAGCTAAAAATGGCATTCACATTGCCCGCGTGATCGGGGAGTGGGTTATTCTGAACATTCGACTTAGCAGGTTGGAATGAGAAAGCCCTCGTGTCCAGGAGGTTCTGGATTCGGTGCTTGAGGACATAGCAATCATCGGTTGAGTGTCCCAGCTCACCCATGTGATAATCACATTTCTTTGACGGGTCGAAGTTATAGAACCGCTCAGGATTGGGCCGCTTTGGCTCAGTAGTAAGCAAGCCTTTCTTCTGAAGTACTGCCAATACTTGAGACAACGACCCGGGGAGGGAGGTGAATTGCCTCTTGTTGTTCCTCCTTTGAAAAGGTTGACGACCCGAGTTTTGTTGCTGAGCTTCCGCTACTTGGATTGCTGGGGCGGAGTTAGTATTCCGCCGGCTCGGTTGGTTATAAGCCACATTCACTTCAGCTGCCGGTTCTTTCTCTTTTCTCGCACCAAATCTTCTGGTCGAGGAGGACGGCTCGACAAACCATCCATCTTTCAGCCCTATCTCAATCTGTTCGCCTATGGGGATGAGTTGGTTGAAGTTGTCAGCCGGAATGGCAACCATCCGATTACGGTATTCGAACGGGAGAGTTTTTACGAACATCCTCTTCAACTCACTGTCTATGGGTTCTGGGACAACCTGAGCAGCTAAATTCCTCCATCTGATAGCATAGTCTTTGAAGGACTCAGTCTTTTTCATTTGAGCACGTTCGAGATCATCACGGGTAGGAATGATGTCCGTTATGAATCTGTACTGCTTTAAGAATGCTTCACTGGCTTCTTTCCAAGTTTTGAGGCCATTTATCTTCTTCATGAGATACCAGTTCAAAGCAGGACCCGTCAAACTTGCTTGAAAGGCATGGATCATCAGGAGTTTGTTGTCAACATACGAAGTCATCTGTACGTGATAGAGCTGCAGGTGGGCTTTTGGACATGTGGTGCCATTGTACTTGTCAAAATCTGGCATTTTGAACTTCTTTGGGATTTTGATCTGTGAGTACAGGGACAGATCGATCGAAGGTGAATCCTGCGAACCTTCCAGCTGCTTCACTCTTTCTTCAAGCTTGTTGACTCGTTCGTCAGGTTTGTCTTTGTTGACGATAATCTGGACGGGGTCATCTACTAAATCGGGAAGGTCGTCATCTTCCTCACTATCGACATTTTTTCCACCTTTATGCTTTAGGGCTGATGCCTCAGGGGATGCAGGAACAGGAGTCAGTCGAAGGGCTTTGATCTCAGCGGACATCTGTTGCATTGCGGCAAGGACTTGCTTCATTTGGTCCTCAATGCCAACGACACGATCTCGTAAGTCAGTTTGATCTGCCATTCTAGTTCTCGACCTCATACGAATAGGCGATCGTGATCGGTCCGTAATTACCTGATGTAAAGGAAATGAACCAAATAAGCACATGGTCAAGACAAGGTTGGTCCATGACACACTTCTAGTCTTTTTTTTGTTTATTCATGAAAATATTCGTATATGGACGAGACTTTATGAAAAGTGATCTAGGCAAAGAAATGTAAATAACACCCTAGACACAACCTAGGAAATAGAAGCACCAAAATCCCTAATCATAAAACTATGAAAAACAAAAATTGAGACTCCCTAGAAACTATGAACTGAAAACAAATTCTCTAAAGCCCCTTTTTTTTTGTAAAAGAAAGACAACGGCAAACTTCTTAGGAAAATAATTACCTACGACACATCTAGGAAAATAAAGACATAGATTGAAAATAAATTCTCTAAAAGAGCTTTCTTTCTTTTTTTTTTTTAAAAAAAAGGACTTAATGATTATTACTTTCAAATTTAAAACCAACCTAGACCTATCATGGACCGACCCGAAAATTGTAATAACTAAGTTAATTGCAAAAAGGAGAGTTCAGAAGACTTACTTCACCCAGTAGGACCATGGCAACCACATAGACATGCGCATGAAATGTGAGGTTCGATTTCTATCTAGACTCTGGCTTGCAAAATGAAGACGCGAGGATTACCGGGCTAAACCAGTCATGGTTGTGGTTAGGCCAGGGTTCCCCTTACTCCGGCTTAGTTAAGGAGCCAACCCGGGTTGCAAAGGGTGCAACCGTGGTGGGAACTCAATGACACCGTGAAAGAACTTTCGGGACCAAGGAGGGCGACCCGTACCACGCGGGTGTGGTCGGGGTGTCCGCTGTCTCGCACCATCCTAAACCCGTGCCGCCTGTGTCCGGCAATGGTAGTGTGTGCGGTGTAGTGTAAATGCAAGGCATGCACAACATGTTATATCAAACAGCGCTTCGTGCATAAAATAAACCATACATCCAAACACCTCCCTGCAAAACAAGGGTTAACAATCACGCCTCCCCTTATACCTCCCATTCTGCAAAAACATTTAACACCTAAAACAAGGGTCCAGGTTTGTTGGCAATATCATTAGAGAAATCTATCACGACTGACTTCAAACGGTTCATAACACCCAAGGTGACATCCTCAAAAGCTCCTTCAACATCAAGCCACTCAAGAGTGTGAGCTTCGATGTTAAGTTGCTTAATCCCCACTAAGTTTCTCAACATCAAACGTTTTAGTAGGGGGCACCGAGAAATCAAAGCCTCAAGCCCGTCCGGAGATAGCTCCAGGGTCTGAAGATCCAAAATTTTTAAGTTCTTAAATCCTTCAAACGTCAACGGGATTTTCACCAAACATCTATATAGTTCCAAACAAATCAAATCCTGGCAATTGAATAAGGAGGTGGGAATCTTGTAATATTGCCCTTTCCATATGTCAAGTACGATTTCTTTGACGGACACTCTAGATAGATGAAGAATCCAATAGTCAATGTCACTCGTGGCAGAAAATTCGAAGTGAGAGAGCTTGAACTTCCGTATTGGGCCAGTATGAAGCAAGAGGACCTTGTCAATTATCTTCGCCAAGTTTTCTTGCAGAGATGGTTGAACCCCCTTGGCCTTGGTACATTGGCTATCAAACACAAGTTGTGGAATAGAGGACTGTCGCGACCTAAAATTCCTCTCAGGCTAATGGATTGTTAAGACTAAGCCTAACTCGGGCCCTCCCAAGCCCTACTAATTCGCAACTTAGGATTTAAGTTTTTAACATGCAAAAGTTTTTATGCTCGGAGTCGCCACTAATCAATTTATGGTAGGTTGATTAGAAACCTAAATAAAACATAGGGAGATATGTTTTATTCCTACGAACCAGAGATTCTAAGCCCGGGGACTTGATTACGCTAGATCTGGTCTAACGCCCTTTCGGTACCTTTTCTTTTCAAAAATATTTTGGCAGGCAGTTTGGATCCATTTCAACTTAGTTACTAACATGTGAGGTGTTCATGCGAGTGCGCAAACCACCAATTTAAGACTCAGAAAGTATTAAATAAATTGCAAGTTTGGAAGAATTACTTACCTGGAAGCAACGTAAGCATCTGCATTGTTAGCTAGAAGATCACATCAACAATCCTAATATGATTTCTAATTAACAAGCAGTTCACTCAATATTTTTTAGGATTTTCACTTATTTAAATGAAATCTAGCCTATATGCAATGACATGCGAAAATGACATGCGATTAATGCAACCTAGCATGCAAACTATATGTCGTGCGACGACGTGACCTATTTCTAATGACAAGACGAATGATTATTTTTGGTATTTTCTCAATTTAAATTCGGAATAATAAAAATGCCTAAATTAACATGCAAACTATGATGACTTAATCTACCCTAGCATGATTTCTTTTTAGGATTTTTGTTAAAATTCGAAATAATGAAATAACCTGAATAATCTATTAAGATTAGAATATTACTTAATTTAAACTAGGAAATAGATCATCTCAAGTCCTAATTTAAATTAAACAACTACTCTATCTTCTAGATATATTTAGGATTCCTAGACATGTGAAAACTCTAATTCAAATCTAATTAATATTTTTTTTGAATTTTCTATTTATTTGAAAAAGGAAAGCAATTAAATAAACAAGGATAGCAACTACATTCAAAACGTCCACGGGATCCGCCATATTTGTTTCAAACTCGGATTAGGCACAAAAATCAAACTATCGGTCATATCTATAAGGTTATAGATATCGACGGAAAGCCGATTATTCAAATTTGGAAAGCGGATAAAAATCATTATCGTACCCAAGTGGTTATGGATAGGATAATAATTTTCCGTATCGCCGCGTATCGAACCTTAGGGATAAGGTCGGATAGTCGTCCAGATACGTTGCTAAATTAGGAAGTTTTCCTAATTTTGAATATTTAAAAATATTGCGGATATATCGAACATTATCCTAAGATTTCTAAATATCCACATGATATTCACGAAATATTCAAACACCCATATTAGGAAATTAAATATTCTGAAAATATCGGATAATGTTGAATTACCTAATTTGCAGATAACTTCCAAATTTGAATTGTGGATCGAGATCGGACTCGGACGACGGGCGACGCGGCGTCGGCGCGGCAGCTCACGGTGGCGTCTGGCACGGTGGTGCACGGCAAGGCTGAGCGTGATGATGCCTTGGTCGCGTAGACTCTCTGCTCAGTGGGGGCTACGTTGGTGTTGTTGAACACGACCAAGAATCTGCAAATATCGGTGAAACAAGCGCACGAATTGAGAAGTGGATGAGGAAAAGAGAGAACTTTTTCCTCAACGTATCATGGAAAAAGAACTCCTGTGGACGTCGTTATTCTCTGTGTCGGTTCTCAAAAGAAAACCAATTGTGATTTTTTTTTCTCCACTTCGTACGTCTCCCCAAGAGAAGACCTCCAAGTGAATTCTTTAATCCAACTTCCACTAAAGCTCTTTTGACCACCCCTTGGAATTTTCTTTAAACCCGCAAAGGCAGAAGAACAATTTATCATGGAGAGCACAAAGGGGCGCTTGGTGTGCGCAAGGGCAGCAACGTCGTCGATCACGGGAAGGAGCAGCTGCGAGTTTCTCGGCGCAGGATCACGATGGCTTCATCGTCATAATACGTGTAGCAGCTTGTTGATCTAGGCGTCAGTGTTGTGGTAGAGACACAACAAGGAACTAGCCGCTGTACAGGGGCGTCGTAGAAGAGCAGCAGCAAGATGGCGGCGTTGTGACCTCAGCTCAGGAGCGGCGTGGTAGCGATGGCAGGACGGCGCGGGCGATAACGGCGTTGGGTGTGCGGCCGTCTTCTCTTCTTACTCTTAATCTCACGCGTGTTTCTCGCTCTCTCTGAAAATTCTCCGAAAATTATGAGTCCCCCCGTGATTATGACGCATAACGACATATTTATATCGCAACCCTAGGTTAATTAACCGGGCTTCCTAGTCCTAATGGGCTTAGGCTTGGGCTTAGATTTTAATTTAATTTAAATGGGCTGAATTAATTAAGGATAATGGGCTGAATTAAGCTCAAATTAAAACAACTGAGCCCGTTTGACTTGTAATTCCCGGCCCTTGCCTTCCGAGCGAGCCGAGTCCCATTCGATGAAATTTAAGCTCGTTCGTCACCGCCGGTCCGATGCAAAATGCAATTAATCTAAAATGAATTTAAACTATATGTTATGCAACCTAAATATTTTTGTTTAGGGTTTAAAAATTTAATCCCTAATTTTCTATGCAAATTACACTAAATGATACTCCAAAATTTAGGTGTCAACAAGGACCATTTGTACCTCCACTTTCTCGACAAAATACTAGTCCTCACTGTGTCCTTAATCGGCAAGCGTGACAGGATTTGGTTCGTTATGTTCCCCGGTAACTGGCTGATCTCGTCCAACTCATCCGTCATTCTGTTTCTCACCTGCGATGCTTTGGAATTTCTGACAAACAGTGATGCACTGGAAAACGGTTAGACGCAAGTAAATTAAAAATGCTCCAATGAAATTCTAAGCATAAAATAGATAAAATAATAAGAAAAACGAACATACTAAATCTTAGGATATAAATGGATAACTACTCGAAATTGAAAAAAAAAATCACGTATATCCTAACGTAATTTATAAAATAAAAGGATAATGAAATAAATAAAAATTGTCATATTCGAAAATGTACGCTCCGCACCAATGTTTCTTTGTTTTGGCCATTGATTGGAATTTTCTCAAATGCATGGTAACTTACCGAAGAAGTAAGTGTTATGATTGGATAGGATGCATGTTCACCCACCGAAATCTCGATCCATGGGTTAAGTGGGACTCAAGTGGAGCCGTGAAATTCAAGGGTCTAAATTTTGCGTGCGCTCATGCACGTAGTTCATGAGTTGGTCCTCTAAAAAAACCATTTACTACTACTATCTAACCTTCTTGCCCTAGGCCTGAGTTAGGATCCATTTATCTTCTGCATAAATACCATGTAAAGTTCGACTATGTTACTCACCGGAGGGTTTGTTGAAGTGACTGTACGGTTCTTGCTTAGCGATTTATCGAACTTCTGCAACAAACTGGCTTTAGATAACCGAAGAGGAGAGAGAGAGAGAGAGAGATCTTATTGATCAGCAACACCCAGTTGAAGGCGTCAGCATACGGGGCAGAGTGAAATGCACCTGCAAGAGTTGAATAGTGAACTTGGAGACACAAGGAGAGCAGAAGAGCAGTTTGTTTTTGTAGCAGTCACGTCACGTGACAGTGACATTGAAAAAGGCAAGCCAACGAGAAGCAAGGGATTTCAAGATTCCAACGCAAATTTAGTTGAAATGCATATCGTACGAAAAATCGATAACATTGCGTCAATCTTGTGATCCATAATGGACATGCTCTCCTAAGTCACTTCACTGTGATTGCACTCGATCCATAGATCAAGGTGAAGCAAGAATTGCCCGGGCCCTCCTTTCATTTTCAGTCAAAAAGATAAATGCAAAGTCTCCCAAAGATAAAAGAGCTACTTCATAATTCATGGCTCATTTTTCTTTATGCTTTCCCTTTTTAAAGTGGGAAGTATGAATGCCCCAGTTGTACATTAACACTATCAATTATATTGCTCCCTGTGAAGGCTAACGTGATGGGGCTTCGTCACTATATTAGATGCTGCAAAGGCCAGAGGCCAATCAGAGCCATAAAGAAACCAATAGGAAAATTCCAAATAAGGACTGAAAGTGCTCTCATTTTTCAAATAAGGGCTTGAAGTGAAAATTGTGTCAAATAAGTGCCTGAAGTGCCATATTTTTCTCAAATACGGGATTGAAGTAAATCTTGTTTCAAATAAAGGTCTAAAGTGGCCATCTCAGTCTAAAAAAAAGGGCCTACTCTCACCGGAGTCAAGGGCATTTTCGTCTTTTAATTTTTTTAAATTTTTTTCCTTTTTTTCTTTTTTTCCTTTTGTTTTTTCCATAAGAAACAAATTCAAAAAAAAAAGCTACAAGTTTTTTTTTTAAAAAAAATTAGGGGGCAGGGTTGCCAGAGCCTCAGCGAGGGCCAGCCACAGGCGGGAAGGGCTAGCAGCCAGCCCTCCCCCTTGTTTTTTTCTTTTTGTTTAATTTTTAATATAATTGAACTAAAATTTATGTTAAAATTGTTTTTGAACGAAAATGCCTTTGACTGGCCGGAAAATTTGGTTGGCCGGTGAGCCGGCGGGGTGAGGCCTTTGTTTGAAATTGTTATAGCCACTTCATGCCCTTATTTGAGAAAATGAGGATGCTTCATGCCCTTATTTGATATAAAGTTCACTTCAAGCTCTTATTTAGGAAAATGAGGATACTTTCGACCCTTATTTGGAATTTTCCTCCTATATTTTGATAAATTTGAAAAAAAGAGTAGAATATCTGTAGAATTTGGAGTATCTATATTAGAATTGAAATCACATATCTGGTTTTGGGCAGTCTTCATCTTTGAATCAATTTGTGCCGACGAAGTCGTACGAACCAGGAGCTAGGTCATCCTCTCCTTCTCCTCTCCTAGAGGTCCCAATGGATAAACCGTTTTTGTATGGAATGAGGGGGTGGAGAGGTGATCATAACCTATTTCTAGTGGGCATTCTAGTAGTCTCATCCACATAGGTCACTTTTAGAAACTAGTCTACATTGATCGTCCAATCACATTGTAATATCGAAATCCAGATGTGCAAAACCCACTATAACTTGATCACATAATACCATTGCCTCATATGTCTAATTTACTTTGTAACGGTATGTTATTCATAAATTAAAATATTATGTGATTAATGTTAGCCCACATTTATAACATTCTTCGTCTTGAGCAATATTAACTGTAAACTACTTTGAAAAATAATTGAATTTGATAAAATCACTCGCAGGCTATTTAAATATTAATTGTACGTGGCCACCTAGAAACAACATTTTGATAAACAACCCCGGACCAACAAAATCGTCGACATCAAACCCTAACCATCATGACATCTCTCCATAGATGTCCGACAACCATGATTACGAATGCTAAGCAGTTTAGCCGTCATGGGTCAATGCGGTAGTGTAGCTGAAAATAGCATTCTTTAATGTGATCTGACATAATTCTATCCTCAAGTCTGGTCCTCTTTTAATTTTTGTGGGAACAATATACTTTAAAACTAGTCAAGAAAACCCAATCGGCAATTATGCCATGTACGTCTCTTTTAACCTTCAACTTACTATAATATTGGATGATGTCATTCTTGAAAAATATCATCTTAATAAACCGTCTTACCCACGACAGACACCCAAATCTTGAGCATCTACTAGAATTAGAAATGTGCACATTTAAACATGATATAACAATCAACTGATAATGATGATCATCACGTATGTAATAACCAGATATTCACGACGCATAAGCATAAGTTATAGGAATGAATATCTGAATAATTGAGAAAAGGACAACGAGTTTTTTTACAATTACTCCCACCGACCAAGCAGATCAAAAGACTCTAATTCTTCTTATCATTGAAATGTTTCTCATACTATGGGCCAACAATATTATAACTTAAATTCTAGGAACAACAGCAACCATATTCGCATTTCACAAAAAAAAATTTATCATTGTTTTTCTTTAATCATTTGATGAGAATCAGGGTAATGATACCACAAGCATCTGAACTTTTTCTATTTTACAATTGAATATTAAATTTTTGTTTTTGTTCAATCAAGTATCTAAAATTTTCAAATGTAAGTGAACGAAGACGTTTATTAAAATCAGGAATGGAAAATGGCCCATTGGACATTAATGCCGCTAAAATAACCATTAATCGTAGGGGTGAGTAAAAGGAACCACCCGAACCAAATCGGCCGGTTCTAAGTGGTTTCCGTGGGAACCGGTCTGATTCTCGGTTCTCAAAAATTGGAACTGATGAGTACTGATCTGGTTCTAGATTTTAGGTGTGGAACCACCTACCAGAACCACTCTATATATAAATTAATTGTTATTATTATAAATAAAACCCTAATTACTTACCTATTTAGAGATCAGACTCTCGACCCCTCTCTCTCTCTCTCTCTCGTTCAACTCACGACCTCGACGCTCCTTGCTCCTCGCTCCTCACTCTCACTCACGCTCACTCTTGGCCTTGATGGTTTTTCATGTACCAATTTGCCTCTCGCAGCCTATATTTGCCCTAATTTCGTTTCTTACTACGCGTCCTGGTTTCTTTTTTTTGTTTCATCTGGTATGGTTGTTATCTGTTAATGGTTTTCTTGTCAACATGGTGGCTTTTGAGTCTTGGATTCGCGAGGAAGGAGAGATGGTCGACGGAGGTTAAAGAACATGATGAAATGCATCTTTTCGGGAGAGCAGGTACGGGTGGATGAAATGATAGACTCTTTAGAGTCATTGGCCGCAGGTTTTTGAAGAAAATGTAGACCTCAGGACACAACTGGTTTTATGGACCCATTCAGGAACTAGATCACTGGTGATCCGATTCCTGGTTGGGTCCAATGAACCAATGGGCGTTGAAACCGATCGCCCCTAGTTAACTGTCCATATTGAGGTTCTATACAAAAAAAACTACCCACTAAGTGATAAACATATTGTACGAATGCCAATTCAGTTTTAAACTTTTTAATTTTGTCATTTTAATACTAAACCTTTGTACGTAACTCCAATGTAGTCATAGTGACTCTTTTTTGCTAGAAATCACTGATGTGGCACGTCGCCACATCCATATTGATATCGATGTAGGCCAACCTCTTGACTTCGTGATCTTTGGAACTTACCCTATCGATATTGATCTTGATGAAAAGCTCTTCCCACGAGCTTTCCAACAACATGAAGATGCATAGCAACTCCATTGTCACTGTCATCAGTAGAAGATGCATCATCCACGTCTGTCATCTTCTGTAGATCTGCTTGAGGAAGCTTTAAGTGCAAAGATTTTTTTCTTTTTTAGACTCCTTTTCATATGAGTGTTCAATCTCAGCTTCATATGCCATGAAGGATCCAATTAGCCAATCTAGTGAAAGAGTTGATAGATCTTTGGGCTTTATAGTGCGGTCTTCTTGGGTCTCCACTCCTTTGGTCAACACCTTAGAGTTGTCTTCACTAGCTCGACATTTGCGAAGGTTTTCCAACTGCAATCACCATTCACACTATCTGCGAATCTGGTGAACATTTGGATGATGTTCACAGCAAAACATGAGCTTTCACTTTTTTGTTGTGGGCTTTTTACTCTCTCTAGGCTCAATTTATTTCTCTTCTGAGTGGGCTTTATTTTGCTCTTTTTGTGGTGTCTGAATCAAGCTCACCAAAACTAAAATTTGGCGGGTTTGATGTATCTAGGCCGCCGGAATGAAGCTAAGTATCAATTTGAGCGGGGACAAATCGGTTTGAAGCAAAAGTGGGTTTGATTCGAACTTGTGAATTATTACGCCGTTTTTATTCATTTTCTATATTCTTACAAACATTACATGCCTAATTTGTTGGAAAAATTCAAGCGTCAATGGTTGGTGGCATTGTCCCTCAAAAAAATGAAAGCTGAGAAGTCGTCAAATGACCAAAAACACTACTTTTCATGGCTCAGATTTCTTTCCAATTACCTTTGGTAAATTTGAGAATGCGAAAGATGTAGTACGTGGATATGTTCTGACCCAACCCAGAAGAAAACCTATGAATAACGTTACTCAGTGCGAAGACTCGTACGATGAAGGTCAATAGGCCAGAGGACCAATCATGCCCATAAGAAAGAAACCATTTTGCTTCCAAATGATAATGAAAGTTACAAACCGTTAAGACAGTTATGGAATGAGAAACTCCTTGACGGAAGATGAACGAAGAGGATTCTCATTTCTCTGAGTAACACACGAACTCCGTATCACATGTTATTCAAGTTCTGAGCAGCATAGTATAAACAATTGCATTGACTCCTCCTTACTCTGGAACAAATGGGTCGAGAAAAATCACCTTCGCTTGTGCCAAGGCTCGCCGGAATTGTAGTACCTCCCTTAGCAACTTGCCTTCTCCACTCATGGAATTAGGCCGGATCGTCATTGCTTGTAGGTTTGGCGAGCTAGTAAGCAGAAACTTCTTCAATTCCAGCTCTAGCTCACTGCCAGAAATCCCACCCATCAATACAACTTGTACTTGTTCCAGGCAAACATGCTTTGTTGTCTTCCCAAAAGTCTGCCAATGTTCCGATCCGTGTAGTCTGTTGATCCTTGGCTCGACACTATGTTTTTAACGATCAAAGACCAACTCTAACATTGAGATGCATAGAGAGAGAGAGAGAGAGAGAGAGAGAGAGAGCTTAATCTGGTCACTTTATCAAGAGAGGCAGAGAGCTTGATTTGTCTATTTTCTTTACTATGATCCCCGTATTGTGATTTCTTTTTGGCTGAAACGAATTATTATACCGTGATTCATTATGAGAATTCATAATTTAATCATTATGAAGTACACATCAGCTCTCTTTTTCCTCAAATCAATGATCAAAAGCACCAATGTAACATGGTGATCACCGAAAATCAAATCAATATACCTAAACAGATATTCTATAACTTGATATAAAGGCAACAACAATCTTCTGATACCGATTCATCTTTCTTCAAATGATGAACAATTTTGCAAAATAGAAAAGGATTCGTGGATTTGTTTAATTATGATATGTAATAGAATGCAACTTATTTAGCAAAATCCACTTGACTACAATTATGGATCATTGTACTTTAAGTTTGGTTCACTATGTACTTCAAATTTTTTGACAAGTAATAAAAATGTGGAGAAAATCACCCAAATAACTAAAATCTGTGATAAAAGTTTGGGAAAAAAATACTAGATCAGTCCACTAAAATCTAATCTCAATAATCATAATCACTTGAAAGGCTACATGTTTCAACTGAGGAGAGCTTCTGATCAAGCACATAATAGTCAAAATCTCCTCCACGCTATTGAAGTCTATGCATGTGAAGAGGTAATTAAAATGAACGAGTTCATTAGGCGGTGTCTGTGGAACACTTCCAATAGCCAAATACTACACAAATCAACCAAAATCAAGTGTCAATAGATACCAAGGATATAGTTATAATACCAACATATTTTCACCCCAAAAATAATAGTGAACTGAGTACTGACAATTTCAGAATTTACGTGCTTAAATTGTACCTTCAGCGATTAATTTTCAAGAACGAGACTATGAAGTTTGGGTAGATTTCAGAAAAGTTTATGCAAATTGCTAGAGTTGGCATAGTCGGATCCACGTTTATTAGCAATATCATCAGAGAAACCAACCGTGACCGCCTTCAAACTATCCATAACACCGAAAGCGACATCCTGAAAAGCTCCTTCAACATCAAGCCACTTGAGGTTGCCAGCTTCGATGTTAACTTGCTTAATCCGCTCGAAGTTCCTCAACTTCAAACGTTTTAGTAGGGGGCACCGAGAAATCAGAGCCTCAAGCCTGTCCGGAGAAAGCACAACGTGCTAAAGATCCAAACTTTCCAAGTTCTTGAATCCTTCAAACATTGACGGGATTTTTATCAAACATCTGTACAATTCCAAATGAATTAAATATCGGCAATTGAATAAGGAGGTGGGAATCTTGTAATATTGCCGTTTCCAGATTTCGAGTATGATTTCTTTGATGCACACTCTAGATAGATGAAGAATCCAGTGTTTAATGTCACTTGTGGCACAAAATTCTTCGTGCGAGAGCTTGAACTTTTGTACTGGCCCTGTATGAAGCAAGACTGTTGACACCTGATTTTTGGTCAAGTTTTCAATTTTACATAAAAATCATGAAAATTAGGATTAGGAACCTTGGCAATGCTTAGAAACCTATTCCTAAACAAAAAAATAATTTTTTTTAGATTTTTCGTGAATTTTTCCTCAATTTCTTTTTGACTAAGAAGGGAGAAAAATCAAGAAAAATACTAAATGGATTTTAAAAAAATTCCACAAAAATAGCCATTAGTCTTCTTTTAATTCCAATTTAAGCACTGCAGTTTCAATTTAGAAAATTTCAGTTGGGGATATGTTTTTCTCAAAATTGGGTAATTTCAAATCCTAATTGAGCTGTCATTTTTGGGCTATGGTGTCTTCACAACAATTGATTCTGGGACCTTAAATTTCATATTGGTCGGTCCAATTTCACAAATTGACAAAAGAATTGAAAAGCCCCAAAAATTAATTGAAAATTAGGGATTTTAAGACCCAAATTTGGGATCTTATTCAATTTGAAATTTTCAATTGAAATCTATACCTTCCCTAGGGTTAACTGAACATGGGTAATTCAATTTTTATCTCAATTTTACCTAATTAGATCATTTGGACCCTTAATTGAATAGAATCCCAATTAAACCGAATGCAAAATTAAGATTTTTTGGGTTTAATGAGGATGAAAACTCAAATTGATTTCATATTTTGAGGTAAAAAATGTGAAGGATTCGAAATTTGGGGTTAAAATTGTGAAATTGGATCAAAATTGAGTTGAATTTGCAAATTTAGACCAATCCGAGCCTACTGGGTCGGTCGGATCTGACCTAACCCAACCCAACCCGAGTTGGTCATCCCCTTCACTCGGCTTAGACAATGCGCGGGAAAGGAGAATAAAATATCAGCTCAACCCCATCTCTTCGCCGACTTAGAATTCTTATTCAGCACATGAAAAATAGGATTGGATAGTTGGAAAATCTCCAGCTGTCCATCCTCATCTGTTATAACCGATCGGTGAGTTAGTTAGGGGTGAGAACCGATTGGGGGAAGGAGAAGAAAAAGGAGGGAAAACTTGTTATCACAAAACAGAAGGTGCTCGACGAAAATCCAGAGAGAACGAGAGAGAGAAATAGAGAGAGAAAGAGAGAAATTAGGAAAGAGAGTGAATAGAGGTCCTTCAAGCCGAGCGATCGGCACGATTCTGACCAGAAAAGCATCAACAAATCGGTTTCTCCAGTGAACCTCCTCACTAAAGGTCCAGAAGCGAGACTGATCGAGAAGGTCTGAAAAGCGATCCTGATCGACGAATCCGAGGCTTTTCCGGCGAAACGATGACCACGTGCTTGAAGAACAAGTGTAGGAGAATCATCCTAGAGCTTCCTTGTTGCTCGGAATTTCCAATCTAACCTCCGGTGAAGAAGGTAAAAATGCTTCCCACTCACACACCAACCATTCTGTGAAATGTTTGAATGATTGATCGAACCTTGTTATGTTTGATTCAGCGATTTTCTTTTTGTGATTGTGATTATTGATGCCACATACGTATTTCTGATCATTTACTTTGTCATTTGATGCATTTTGGATCATGATTGTGTGAAAACCTTGAGTAGGCCCCCATGATCATCCTCGCCGGAGCTCCCAAACCTCGCTGGAATGCTTTCTAGCGGCTAATGGCCGATCAAGTTAGTGTTTCTGATCCTATTTGATGTTCTGGTTGTTGTTTTGATCGCTAGAAACGGCTATGACGTGTTGTTTGATAATCTGAATGTTAGAAGCATTTGATTATGACAGTTTCGAGTTAGTGTTTTTAGGCTCAATTTTCACCGGCCATCGGCTATCCGGCGGTGGTCTGGCAAGGCTAGGTGGTTAGAAGGTGTGGGATAGTTGATCTAGGAGCTAAGGTGGTGGTCGGAATGTGATCGGAGGGTTGCCGGAGATTGACGTAAAGTGGCGGCCCTGAAAACATAAAAATGAACTCATGCCCACCAAGTGTTTGTCAATATGCCTAAGAGAAAAAAAGAAGAAACGGTGCCCTTTTTTGGCATAATGCTTGCCGGGAATTCGTCGGAGACCGATTAGTCCGGTCCAACCCGGTCAGACTGGTTTGAACCGGTTCGGTTCGATCCCGGTGAGAATAAAAAATGAATAAAATGAATAAATAATAATAAAAAATTAGAAATTTCATAAAAAATCATAAAAAAATTAGAAAATAAAAAAAAATTCTCAAAAAAATTAGATAATTAAAAAAATCCATAAAAATTAGAAAATTTTAGAAAATACTTAAAAAAATCGGAAAATTCCAAAAATTCATAAAAACTAAGGGAAATTTAAAAAAAATTCAAAAATTCATAAAATGCCTTAGAATATCTGTGGCCACTCACTTTGAGTGAAATTTAAAGTTTTTGAGATGCCCAAGTGGTATTTTTGAAGATTCCTTAGCTTAGGGATTAAAAAGGGTTTTAACCCCTAAAAAAATCCTAAAAGGAATTTAACCCCCAAAAGGGGTCGTTCCCCCTAAAAAACCCTAAAGTCACATAATCCATTGAATGAACAAGCCTTTAGGGCTTTACTAGGGTTTAGATGTTTTGATTGATTTTCATTTTAGAGACCGTTTTAGGATTACTATGTTTGATTGAAATTGTTTGCGCATTTCCGTATTGATTGATTGATTTCTCCCGATTAGAACGGTTAGAATTAGTGGATAGGCCTTGCGAACTTGTGTGACACGTTTAGACACTTCGTATCGTTTTAGGTACCTAAAAGGCATTAGGGATCTCATTTTGGAATCATTAACGTAACCAAGTCCCCTTACTCATATAATCTCTGGTTCGTAAAAATCGTGCTCCCATACCTTGATTAGGTTTCTAGTCGACCAATAAGGACTAGTGGCAACTCCAAAGTAAAATTTAGGTTAAATAGAAAAATTAAAAAACAAATACCCGCTATCTTGTGGGGTATGGTCGGGGAGAGACCCTCGTTCGATTAGTTATAGAATGTCTGTGAGACGTTTGGGCGAAATATTCATTTCGGACCTTAGTAACTCATTCGGGGACAGTTTTCCTTATTCATGACAAACGAAAGTACCTCCAAAGGCGCGTGAAAGCGCGGCACGACAAAGAGAACCTTGTCAATTATCTTCACCAAGTTTTCATGCAGAGATGGTTGGAGAGAAGGAATTCTTGTGGCCCTAGTGCATTGGTCATCAAACACAAGTTGTGGAACAGAGGACCATCTGCACCTCCACTTTCTCGACAAAATACTAGTCCTCACTACCTCCTTAATCAGTAAGTGCGATAGGATTTGGTCCATTATGTGCCCTGGTAATTGGCTGATCTTGTCCAACTCATTCGTCATTATTATTCTCACCTGTAATACTTTAGAATTTCTAACAAACATTGATGCATTGCGGATGATTAGATATGAACAAATTTAAAAAAAAAACTCTAATGAAATTCTAAGTATAAAATAATAAATATATAAACTAATAATAAAACGAACATACTAAATCTTAAATATAAAAATGAATAACTACTAACAATTGAAAAAAAAAAAACACCTATTATCCTCACGTAATTTTTAAGATAAAAAGAAAAGGAAACAAATAAAATGTAATCTTCAAAGACGTACACTCCGCATTAAGTTTTCTTTCTTTTGGCCATCAATTGGAATTCCGTACAATGCATGGTAACTTACTAAAGAAGCAACTGTCATGAGTGCTAAGGATGCATTTTTAACCTTGAAATCTTGATCTTTGGATCTAGTGGGACTCATATGAAGCCGCGAAATACAAGGGTCTAAATTCTGTGAGTGCACATACACAGAGCTCAGTAACTCCGTCCTCTGAAAAATCGACCACCACTATTTTCTGACCTTCTTGCCCAAAGTCGGAGACAGATGTTAGAGTCAATAGATATTACTTTTGCATAAATAAATACCATGTAAAGTTCGGCTCAAAAATAAAAATATTGCTCACCGGAGGAATTGTTCTTGCTTAGCGATGTACTTGGTCGAGCTTTGAGAGAGAGATGAAGTGCAATTGTATGGAGCAAGAGGAAGTGCTAAATGCAAGAAGGGGAGTAGTGAAGTGGAGAGACAGGGTAGCAAGGGAAGCCGGTTTACCTTTTTAAAGTGGAAAATTTGAATAGAGCCAAAGGCAACCCCCTGTGTAACAAGTTACTTTAGAACTCCTTTGTCAACAAGTTTTTGAAAGTGTCCCACCCCTTTTCCAACTCTGTCGCCTTCTACCTGTCTCAAAGCATGTCTTCTGTCTGTTACAAGAATGAATTGGCTGTCTTTTCTCATAATTATTCATTGAAATTCCATGGTGTGCGGTGCGCGCCTTCGAACTTCAATTCTTCATCAATGTTGCTCCGAAAGTGGCGCCCCTCATTTTCCCTAAAAGTGAGTTACAAAAATGATTTTAAAGAACTTAAAATCGCGGAAATGAAGTCGGATGACCCGATCTGCGTGAACTGCCGTGACGTAGACCAAACTCTTGGCTTCATGATCTTTGGATCTTATCCTATCAATATTGAACTCGTTGGAAATCTCTTGCCAAGAGCTTTTTGACAACGTGAAGATGCGTAGTAATTTAGTTGTCACTGCCTTGTGTAGAAGATGCACCATCTGTGTCTGTCATCTTCTGCAGATCTGCTTGAGGAAGCTGTAAGTGCAATGATCTTTTCCTTTTTAGACTCCTTTTCATCTGAGTGCTCAATCTCAGCATCGTATGCCATGAAGGATCCAATTAGCTAATCTAGTGAGAGAGTTGATAGATCTTTGGGCTTTATAGTGGGGCCTTCTTGGGTCTCCACTACTTTGGTCAACACGTTGGAATTGTCTTCACTAGCTTGTAAAGGTTTTCCAAGTGCAATTACCAATCACACTATTTGCGAATCTAATTTGAACATTTGTACGATGCTATCGTTTAACTTTGTCTTGCAGAGCTCGTAATCCATGATTAGCTCTACACTCCTTTACACAAGTAGTACGTTCATGTGCCACAATAAAGTTTATTCCAAATTTCTCCTGCTGAGGTACATGAGCAAACCTGATTAAATTCAATAGGAGATAAGGAACAACATAAAACATGGGTAGCCTTTTTTTGTGTTTTGATCAGAAAAGATAACTAAGCTTCGTTACTTCAAGTAGTTTCTCCATTACACCGAACTTAGGCCTCAGAGACAATGAGGTCCCATAAAACACTAGGGGAATTAGTGAGCCAGTTTCTAGGGAGGTAGTTGTGTCTATGGGCCTTGGCAACCCAGTCCGCGACTTTATTTGCTTCTTGCCCGCAATGGGCTAGACTCAGCTTTTCGAAATGGGCCATCTCCAACTTGTAGGCCTTGATAAGAGCCTCCTCTTCCCACGAAGCCTTCTCTTGATCTGTCAGCACCCTTATCAGGTTCAAGCTATCTGACTCCAGCACAAAGTGCAGAGAAGACTTCGACTTCAAATGCTTGCACGCTTGAAGGAGAGCTAGGGTTTCAACTTGTCCAACTGTAGAAGCATAAACACTCATGGCAAACCCATCCACCGCTTTTCCAGTATGATCTTTGCAAATACACGCTATACTTCGTTTTGATCTACTTTCCGCAAACGATCCATCCACGTTCACCTTCAACTCGCTGCTCTTGGGTGGCTTCCATTCCTCAGGTAAAAAACCTTTTTCCCTTCTTGATTTCTTGTTTGCTGGGTTCCATCTCACGAAACTTTTGCAAATAGCCAATGAAGAGTCCACCACATTCGATGGCTCAGGAGCTCATTTATAAAAACAAAATTGTTTCTTGCTTTCCACATCTCCCAAAGCATTGATGCCAACCACTTTAGTGAAGGTGAGTTTCCCGTCCTCCTAACTTGATTAAGTAGCCAAATTTCAAATCGGCCTAGCCCTTTTTATGATATTTCCACTTTCAGGTCTGGGTGTCGCCAAACGTCGTTTGTCCACTTGCATAGCAGAAAGATATGTTCTATAATTTTTGGGCCTTGCCTACATAGAGGACACACCGGTTCAGGTAAAATTTTCCTTTTCCACAAATTCTCATTAGTTGGGATCGCGTTTTGGCATAGACTCTTGATGGAAGTTTTAATTTTTTGGTGTATATGCATATTCCAAACCATACGCCATAATTCTTTTGGGTGCTCATAAGAAGATGATGGCTGGTTTATGTTCTGCTTTTTCTCTGATTTCCAAATCTGATTGTACGCACTCTTGACCGTAAAAGTGCCAGCCTTTGTTCGCGTCCACATAACTTTGTCTTTTTCCTTAGTGACCTCAATTGGGATAGTTAAAATTTCTTAGCAATTTTTTTATCAAACATTTGAAACAATTTTTGGTCATCCCATTTCACTTCGTCTGTGCTAATTAGCTCGCTTACTGTCTGTGGCTCCCCACTTAGTTCCTCTCCTCCAATTGTGCTTGATTTGAGCCATCTATATTCTCTAATCTTGATATCCCCGCCACTCCTCACTCTCCATCTCACATTCTTAGCAATTGCCTCTCTTCCCCACAATATGCTCTGCCATCCCCATGAAGCGTGACTACCCTTTCTGGTATGCCAGAATTTACTATATGGGAAATACAATCCTTTGAGTACCTGTACCCAAATGCAGGAAGGGTTTTGATCTATCCTCCAAGCTTGCTCCAAGCATGGCCTTATTGAAGGACAATAAGTCTCTAAACCCCATTCCACCTTGGTCCTTCCTTCCTTTTATAGCATTCCAGTTTTTCCAGTGGATTCCCGACTTTGAATCACCATTCTTCCACAAAAAATTTGCAACTTTTTATTCAATAGCTTGGCAAATAGAGATAGGTCGTTTAAAACACGACATGGCATATTGTGGTAGAGCTTGCGCCACTGCTTTCATGAGTGTCTCTTTTCCGGCTTTTGAGATCATCCTTTCTTTCCACCCTTCAATTTTCATGTTTACTCTACCCAAAATCCATGTGAACATTTGTTTCTTAGTTTGACCCCAATCCGATGGAATCCCTAGGTACTTTCCAGTTTTTTCTATTCCGGGACTCTCATTTCTGTCGCCATGTTCCTTCTCAACGTTTGAGGACAGTCTTTATTGAAGAAGATGCTGGATTTATTCAAGTTGACGGCTTGTGCTGAAGCAAAACAGTACTGGTTTAAAATTCGTGCTACATTCTGACACTCTTGAACCCTTCCATCTAGAAAGAATATTGAGTCATCCGCAAACAAAAGATGAGATAGGGTTGGGCAATGTCTATTTAGTTTAATTCCCCTTATTCTTCGTTCCTCCACCACTTTCTTTAAAAGACAGGATAGCACATTGGCCACTAAAATAAAGAGTTAAGGGGAGAGTGGATCTCCTTGACGTAATCCTCTTGAAGGTTGGAAGAAGTTATGTGGTTCACTATTAAATTTTATGCTCAAGGATGCCGACGTCACACAATACATAATACGAGCTACCCATTTGGCATCGAAATCCATTTTGATCAAACATGCTTCCAAGAAATCCCATTCTACCCTATCATAGGCTTTTCTCATGTCTAATTTGAGCACCGCTTGAGAATTCTTCTTTCTGTTTCAAATTCTAAGCTGATGCAATACCTCCTGTACCACCATGATATTGTCTTGAATTTGTCTCCCCCCACAAAAGCACTTTGTTTACTGGCTATCAATTCCGGAAGAAAAGGTTTAAGGCGATTCGCCAAAACCTTTGAAATAATCTTATATCCAAAATTGCATAAGCTAATTGGGCGAAATTGGTAAAGACTTTCTGGATTCGGCACCTTTGGAATAAGAGAAATATGAGTTTTATTCAGCTGAGGATTAAACATTCCGGTTTTAAAGAATCCGCCACCATTTTGAACACATCCTGGCTTATTATCTCCCAATGATAATGATAAAATTGGCCGTTTAGTCCATCCAGACCAGGAGCTTTAGTTGCACCTAATTGGAAAACCACGACCCTCACTTCTTCCATGTTAAGATCAGCCATTAGTTTTTTTGTTAATTTCCTCCGACAGCATCCTTGGGCACTGTTCCATGACGGGTTGAAAGTTTCTGGGACCATTTGTACTATAAAGCTCTTGAAAAAATTCCGTCATCATACTTTTGAGCTGCTCAATCTCTCGAATCCACTAGTTCTCAGAATTTTTCAGCGTTATAATTCTATTCCTTTGCCTTCTTTGTTTGGTTGTGGCGTGAAAGTATCGAGTATTTTTATCTCCCCATTTCAACCAGTTAATCCGAGAACGCATCCCCCAGTACATTTCCTCCTACCGCCAAAGGCTTTCAATAAATTCCTTTTGTTCTCCGCTAACCAAATTTGTTAACTGTTGAAGCTCCACTTTAAAGGAGTTTATTTGTCGGGAAGAGTTTGTAAATTTTCTCTTGCTCCATTTCTCCAATTCTACTGCCGCACGTCTTAGCTTTCCTGTCATATTAGCTCTTCCCGATTTTGGTGACTCCCGAAGCAGATTTTACTACATCTTAACATTCTTCATCTTCTATCAAGAAAGCTTCAAACTTAAAATTTTTCTTCCTTTTTGCAAGGGTCAAGAATAAGGACACTAAGAGAGGGCTATGGTCTGAACCAATGGCCGGTAGGGCAAAAACTTCAGCTTCTGGGAATTTTTTCTCTCCATTCTACGCTATAGAGGACTCTATCCAGTCTCTCTTTCACCAAATCTTCCCCGTCTCTATTATTAGCCTAGATGAAAGCACATCCCTTACTTTCTACATTCATTAAACAACAATCATTTAAGAAATCTTGAAACGCAACAAGGCGGTAATTCTCAGCTACCCTTCTCCCTACTTTTTCCCAGTGATACAAAATTTCATTGAAATCTCCCATTACAGACCAAGGTAGGTCATTACAACTTTTTATACATTTTAACTCCTCCCACAGTACAAGCCTCTCCTGAAAATCATTTGGCGCATGGACGAAAGTAATTCTCATGGCATTATGTCCCCCCTTCTCCTTTATACGAAGATTGATGAAATATTTCCTAGCTGAGTCCACTTCAACTTCCACCTCTTCTGTCCACATAGCTGCTAATCCCCCTGATTTGACATCTGGTTCCGCTATAAAACAATTCTGAAAGTTGAGGATTCTCATTACCCTCTTCACTCTTTTTTCATGATTTTTTGTCTCCATTACAAACACTAAATTAGGCTTTTCTTGAACCACAAGGGCTCTCAAGGCTTGGACTGTCAGGGTGAGCCTAAATCCTGACAATTCCAACAACAAATAAAATGCATTTGTAATCCGATGGCTTATTAGGGCTAGCCACCAAAGCATCATTTTTCACCTTCCGTCAGAATGTGCACAAGTGCATCCTGGAACTATCTCTCTGCTTGTCCGTAATTACTCTCTATCAAGTTGCTAACGGTACCTCAATAGTTTCAGGCTATTATATCCGCAACAACTGCCACGACCTCTACTGCGACGTAGCCACTGAGAGACACAACAAAGAAGAATCCTAGCTTATCTTTCTGTCAAGCATTTTGTCGAACACTAGATCTGCACGTGGAAGTAGCTTCCGATTAGCAAAGGATTGGAGGCTCAATCAAGGAGGTGATGAACCAGATGAGTCAAGCAGCCGCTGAGAAGGCTTGGTTTCAAGACGCATCAACTGGTAACAACGAACTGAAACCAGCAGTGAAGAAGGAACCGTAACCACGGTTGGACAGCGACTCGATTAAATGATATGGCTCTGGGTGGAAGTGGAAGCACAGAGACGTAGGGTGGTGTAGACGATGGAGGATTGGAGGCGCAATGGACGATGAGGAAGGCCTCTCATATCGAAATCGAGAGAGGAAGCTCCCATAGAAGGGAGAGGTTCGACTCGTTGTCGACTTGGGTAGCCTCGAAAGTTAAAGAAGTCTTTCTACAATCATCCACAACACTCTTTTTCTTCTTTCGGAGACGATGTTCCTTCTGTTGCGGTCACAGGAAGAAATCACCCATTTTGCATCACGAATTTTTATAAACTCATAATTCACGGATTTTCCTTCATTCATGCTTTGTCCCGACAAAGGTTGCCATTTGATCTTTGACTCTGAAGTAGAAACACTTCCTGACATCTTGAGCACGAGACTTTGATACCAAATATAAGGTCCCGAATATAATAATCAAAAGGGAGTGAATTGGTTGAAACGACCACGGGTGATTTTTCAAATCTTTTCATTTAAGAGCAGATTTAAAACTTCTTCAAACTGTAACTTTTGGAACTTCTAAAATCTGTGCGAGTGCATCGTTGAAAATGATCTTATGCATGTCTAGGCAACAACAAAGAGCAAAATGGACAGACTACGAAGACAAGATTTATAGTGGTTCGGCCATCATGTTGCCTAATCCACTCTGCCAGCTTTAGCGGCCCAATCGGGCCATATCAATTAGTGTGAACAGGTATTAGATTTCACTTTCTACAAGACTAGTTTCTCAATTGATGCCCCACGGCAGAATTAACCTTTTTTTTTTATTGCTGATTCACCCACAACAGCATTAGAGCTCTCACGTTCTCCATTGATCCCACGAATGGATTTACAAATTCCTTCGTTAAACACTTTGACAAAATCACAATTCCCTTTATGTGAACACTTACAGTGATAATCCTTGTTCTCTCTCACACTCATCCAAGTGTCTCCAGTTTAATAACAAGTGTTCAGAGGAGATTTACAAGCAAGCTCTCGACTCTCAGAGTAAGAGTCGCAAATTTCAGACTCCTGAAAATGAATATATGGTCGTAAGTTCACGTATGTGCATCAATTCGATCGACTCCCCTCTCTCCCTCCCTCCTCCCTTCATCCCAATTTTCTGATTACTTTCATTTGCTGAGGTAACACATACTTGGTGTCCAACTCAGCGTTTGAACTGGCTCATAAGAAAGTCGAGCTAATCATAACTTAACCCATTTCTTCACTTATCATTCCGTCTGACCTCGTTAATAATGGGACTATCAGTGGACCATTTAAAGAAGTGTACAGGCTATTTTGGTAAAGAAAAAGTAGTAGAGGAATTGATTTTCAATTTCTGAAAGGACTGCAAAGCCGAAAGAGCGGCATTATCTCCCCCGAAAAAATTAAAAAGTGCAGCTAGCTTAATGGCACTGTTACAAATTCAGCGTAATGGCTACCGAAATATAAAACTTCCTAGCTAATTGCTAAAAATGGCCCTTATGCAGTAAAACCACAAAAGCTAAATCCGTTAAAAGAATAATAAAAACCAGAATCTTAGCACAATATTAAACACCTGCAGGGAACAAAAATTAACAAAAAAAACCCAGCCTTTCATATTTATTTTAGGTATCGTGCTTTATACTAAAATGAATTAGTAAAATGTCATGCATAATTATATAAAAAGGGAAATGAAAATTTTAATTGATATTAAAGACTAAATAAAAAATTAAAAAAATTAAAAAATAGGAAAGTGCAAGTCTTACTCTGTTAGTTGTATCTCAGAAATGGCTTTAATTGAATTTCAATCGGTTGATATTCATCTAGCTTTTTTCTTTTTCTTTTTTTGATTTTTTTTTGTTAGAAGATTCATCTGGTTTAGGGAGTCATTTTTCTTAAACCTTTGAATAAATTGATTTTATATGGTGTTTTCTTTTAACTAAAATGGATAAAATGATAAAAATATAATAAAATAAAAAATGATAAATAATAAAAAGTAAAAAATCCCATTTGCGTTTATATTAGGATTACATTTAGGGATTACCTCGATATATGTTTTCGCTTTCGATATCTTTTAGTAAATGTTTGGCTTGGTAGATGATTCCCTTTAACTGAAATTAGATTTTGACTTTGACTTTGAAAATTAGCTCCCGGGTTCCCTTCCTAGGGCTTAATAATAAAGAAATGTAATATTCTTTGCCCGACTCATATCAGGTTTATTTTCTTGCATTTTATTGTTGCCACCTTTACTTTTATGATTTAGATGTGTGGCTTTCAATACTTTTGATTTGATATGATTCTTGCCTCTTATGATTGATGGAAAATATTTTCAAAAATAACCACGCATAGACATTTAGTAGGGCGTAACTAGAGACTTAAAATGAATAAAAACCACATGATTCACGTTTTCGAAAAAAAAAAACAAATTCATATATTGAAATGACGCTAATTAGACTAACGAAACCAAGTTCCCGACCTTAGATCTCTAATTAGGAAATGAAACGTCCTCCTAACATTCCCAACGTTCCACTTGGCTCCGAGTTGACCTCAAAAAGACTAGTGACGACTCCAAGTTAGATAGAGTTATCATTGTGTGTTCAAATCGAACTAACGTCGCTCGCAGTAAGGATTGGGAGACCCCGCGCCAAGCGAGAGTGAGCACCTTAATTAGAGGAATCTGCCGTTTCTGCTCGATAAACTGCTAAACCTGCTTCCCCCTAAGTAACCCATTAGGGAGGGTCGTGACAATGTGGAAATTCTAAGACCACAACGCTTTAATTTGCCGGAATAAAATGTAATGTACAAAGTAAATGAATACTAATGCAGATGTGAGACATGAAAATATGCATTTTGTAAGAGTCTACAAAAGCTAGACATGATGAAGCCGCAAGAAACTAAAGAACGATGACGTGGAATTTTAAGAAAAAGTTTGTCTTCAGAGCAGCTTAGAGACCGGCATGAAAGGATTACAAATATAACATATATTTGGGAGAAACACCACATTAATAAAGTTCCTATCGGTGGACCATTTAAAAAAGTTTACGGGTCATTTTTTTTTTAGAAACAGTAAATAAAGGGATTGATTTTCAATATTTGAAAGGATTACAAAGCCGTAAGGGACATTATCTCCCCTGAAAAAATTAAAGAGTGCAGCTGGCCTAACGGCACCATTACACTGAATTTGTAATAGTGCTCTTGTGACCACAATGCTCATATTATGCTGGCCGGACTCATTTTGGCAACCGGAATATAAAACTTCCAAAGCTAATTGCCAAAATTGGGCCCTTATGCTGTAAAACCACAAAAGCTAAACCCGTTAAAGAATAATAAAAACTAGGATCTTATCATTTAGCACAATTTTCAACACCTGTAAGGAACGAAAGTCAACATAAAACCCAGCCTTTCATATTTATTCTTGGTCTCGTGCTTTACACTAAAATTAATTAGTAAAATGAAGCCAATATGTTGCTCTTGTTTTTTTTTAACAATTTTCTATGTTGGCTTTATTTCAACGTTAGAACTAGAAATGACCAAAAGTATAATCTTTAGAAAGTTAACATGGCAATCGGATGATCAAAGAGACGATGGGACATGATGAGTGTCAAGTGGGGTGCATGAATTTATAAATTTTGTGGAACTAAGTTCCTAGTAAAATAAAATAACAACATAAAAGAACTTTTTTTTGTTAATTATATAGTAACACGCACGTTGCCAACCTAACAGAAGAAGTAACATTATTTAACAAAAAAAAGAAGGCATTAAAAGTTCGGCGGTGCTATTTGCACCCCATTTTGACTAAGACACTCATTTTTTTTTTCAATTAACTCTCTCTCTCTCTCTCTCTCTCTCTCTCTCTCTCTCTCTCTCTCTCTCTCTCTTCAATATTTTATCTTTTTTTTATCAAGCTAACAAAAAAAAACCGGCCTAATACCCTAAAAATCCCCCAACTTTAACTTTTGTCCCAATTTTACCTTTTTCTCATAAAACACCTCCGACTTTAGGTTCATTCCTAATTCTATCATAAACTTCTTTTTGTCCCATAAAAAACCCTCACCTTTAGGATATGTTCCAATTTTACCCTAAACTTCTTTTGGTCCTATGAAAACCCCTAACTTTAGGTCTTGTCCCAATTTTACCCTAAAAATTTTACAGTCTCATAAAAAACTACAAACTTTTACTTGAGTCACAAATCTGCCCCCATTACCCCTTCATCCAAAATTTCTCATTGACAACTGATAGATTAAAAACTCTCAAGCACGAGCTGTTCGAGCGTCCCAAGCGCTCTCTGACCATGAGAGATGGAATATTCCCAAGCACGAGAGATCAATGAGCGTAAAATCACTAAGGGCGATTTTGATGGAGGTTTAATAGAGAGCAAATTTGAAACTTAAGTAAAAGTTGGTGATCTCTTTATGAGACAAAAAATTAGAGTAAAATTGAAATTGGACCTAAAGTTGGGATTTTCATATGTGATAAAAAAAAATTAGGGTAAAATTGGTACATGACCTAAATTAGAGCATTTTTCATGAGACAAAAAAAAATTAGGGTAGAATTGAAACTAGACCTAAAGTTGAAGGTTTTGTATAGGACCAAAAAAAGTTTAGGGTAAAATTGGGACATGACCTAAAGTTGAAGGGTTTTTTATGAAACAAAATGTAAAATTAGGACAAAAACTAAAGTTTGAAGTTTTTTGGGATATTAGGCCCAAACAAAACTTACTTTAATTCAGCATCTCTCTTATCAGTTTCACAATATAAATACTCTATTACACCCAACAAGACTTCATCTTATCATGCATCGTGCTTTGCCTAGAGAAGGTTGAAATAAATGAACTCATATTTTTAATCACAATATCTATACAGAAAATTAGAAATTTCTGTTTATGACGGCTATGAACACGCATTTAGTTGCCTAGTTTTTATCAAATAGTTTGAGTGAAACTATGTTTCAAATTTGAAATCTAAATTTTTAATCTAATTATCTAGTCCATCTTGATCAAAAAATGGAAAAAAAAACTTATCATAATGTCAAAAAGGTTAATTTGTTAGAAATATGATTAAACGTTAAACATGTTTATATTTAGATCACATCGAAATGAAAGATAAGCAAAAAAGGAAAATAAAGTAACTTCTTGATGTTCTACTTCTGCCATGAAGAAAATATGAATATCGATTATAAATTCAATCTCATAGCAAGTGGATTAAAATTTTGAAATATGATTGCACGGCACATATAATTGCACGGCACATGCGAATTGTATGGTCGGTCCTTCGATCGTGTACGCAAGGAAGAGGCTGAAATCTCTTGGCATTTCAATCTCTACTGCACGACATGGAACAG